TGTGGTTGGCTGGCATAGCCTCAGCTTCTCCTGTCACCTGGATGTGACTGTTAGCTAAGGAATTCTCAGTGCTGTTCAACTGGCAGTGCTGCTCACCACACGGGGTGGGGGGAGTGGAGAGCTGGGGAGGACAGACCTTCTCAGCATATGTGGGGACAGGCCTGGGGATGGGACAGGTCTAGGTTTGAATCCCAGATCTCCCATCTGCTCTGTGACTTTGGCTGAGACCGGTTTCCACATCAGCCACTCACTGCAATTTCCTTTCCATGCCAGGCTCTAAAACTGGGGACTTCCCTATATGACTTCAAATGTAAATAAAAAGGCATGGGAAATTATTTTAATCTGATCTTATTTTAAAAGGAAAACTTAAAAAAAAGAACAGCGGATTTTACCTATTAAAAAAGATGAAATAAAAAAATTAAGCATGGAATGATTCTATTATCCAGGAACTCTTTCTGGATGTATACCCAAAATAAGTGAAACCAGTGAAACCAAGGACTCAGATGGATATTTATATTCAGGCTATTTATATTTATTCTCAGGCTCATGTTTATAGCATCATTATTCACAATAACCAAAAGGTGTCAAAAACACAGGTGCCCATCAAGACCTGAGTATGGAATATTCTTCAGCCTTAAAAAGAAAGGAAATTCTGACACATATCACAACAGCAGATCATCCTTGAAAAACCAGGCACCAAAGGGCAAATATAGTCTGATTACACACACACACACACACACACACACACACACACACACACACTGGATTTGGAGCCCTGTGGTCTAAACTGGATTTTGGCTTCATTTCTAGGAGATCCATGATCTTAGAAAGATGTACATCGTTTCTCCTCAGTTTTCATTCTTGTTATATAAAGATAATAACACCTCCCCTATGTGTTGTAAGATTTAAATATGTGTGAAAACATTTTATAAACTCCAAATTCTAAAAACCATACAATATTGTATTTTGCCTCACAATAAGTTTTGAGGTGTGAGCAGTTTTAGACACCAAGGTCTGAAGTCGACTGTGAAGGCAACACCTGAGCTAGGCCCCAGGTACTCTGTCCATCAGTACAGCCACCACCAAACTCTGGGTTCTCCGGATAGCAAAACACAGCAACATCATCCCCATCAGTGGTTCTGGCATCAACTCACTCCCTTGTCCTTACACAGGTTCTTCTCAGATTGGCAGTGGCAAGTATTTATGACAGAAAATTGAGGATGAAAGGGAATTTTTAGTGTGGACAAATGTCTTCTTGTTTACCCGACTCTTCTTTGATTCCATAAATTCCATCTTTCAGCCTTTCCTACCATGGTTCTCTTAATTTCTCATCCTGAATATGAGATGTTCTTATTGTCTTGGTTCCTAAGGGAAAACATTTCCTTTGGGGAAAGATGTTAAACTTTCTCAGCGCTGAAGTTGGAAGGAGGTCCAGTTGACCTATCACCTCTCTGTGACTACAACAGTCTTTGGTCAGTCAGCCAAAGGGCTGAGAGACTAAGGTGAGCTCCATACCTCACAGACATCCACATCCCAGGACAATTCAAGCCAAGTCACATTAACTTCCTAACTCTGGGGACAGCTTTTAATTTCTAAGGGGGAGGGGAGGGAAATGTTGGAATAGATGAGAGAAGAAACTATGTGTGTGTGAGGCCCTTCTGCTCATGAACAGCTGCAATAAGGAGCTGCTGAAAATCTTACAAAGATTCTCTTCTCTAAAAAGTGTTTCCAAACAGCCTGTGAGTCCATTTTGTGGAATTTCTGACTGGACCCACACTAAAGACTGAACTCAATTCTCCCTACGCCAAGTCTGCCTGGGTAAGTGCCCCAGCCTGTCTGCTTAGAGACCTTGGAGATCTAGGGCCCAGCCAGGGGAACAAGCCAAACCTGCTGGAAGCTGGCCCTGCCACAAATGGAGCCGGAGGTTGGATTATTCCTGTTGGAATTTTCTCTTTTTGAAAGACTGGAATGTAGTAGGGATGAGAGTCCTGAAGAAGACAGGTCATCCATAACCTACTTTACCACCAAACATTAATCATCACCATGATGGTGAATTAATTTCACCATCCTGGTAGCAAAATTGCCATGGGAGATATGAGGAGTAGTGGTATACTAGACATTTACCAGTTGATACTGCCAACTAAAAATTCACCACCAACAAAATAGATTGCCCCTTTATTGAAATGTCAGCAGCTCTTGGTGTTTATTTTTGCATGTGGTGTGTGTGGTATGCGCATGTGGATCCCAAGAGTCAAACATGGCATTTAACTTTCATCCCTGAGGATCCAATAAATGCCCTGTGTAAAGTTGAGTGCAACCCAGAGAAAGCTGCACTGGGACATAACCAAAGAACTAAAAGAGTGCAGTTTCTTCTTCTTTTAGGATCTCTGATTCAAATACCTCACCTGAGAAGAATTAGAAAAAAACAATATTACAATATTTCAAAAGAGTGTTTACATGGTTGGTTAGACAGGTGCATGTAATAAGTCAAGTTTGGAAATTTATTTCATCATTGTAGTCAACTGAAGTAACATTATCCTGAATCCTGCTAATGCTTACTTACTCTTGTTTCAACTTCAGTTTTACCACATGAATCTTGTAAATTCACTTTCAATCTGTTATTAAAATTGAATTGGTGGCTCACATAGAACATTCACCAATGCAGACCACATATTTTATACTGTGTGAAAATTAAAAATTACCACATATCAAAATTTGTGGGATGCAGTGAAAGCAATAAATAGAGGGACAATTATAGCAGTGGAAGCATATATTAGAAAAAGAAGAAAGATCTAAGGTCAATAACCTTACCCATCTTAGAAAGTTAGGGAAATAAGAAGAAGTTACATCTAAAGCATGCAGAAGTAAGGAAATAATAATAAAAATTTAAATCAGGCTACAATGAAATTAAAAATGGAAATTAATAGAGAAATCAAGAGCTAGTTCTTTGAAAAGATCAGTAAGACTGATAAACTTAGGAAGGCTAACCAAGAAGAAAAGGATACAAGTAAATAATATCAGAAACAAAACATTGAAATGATAATTAAGGAATGTTATGAATGGCACTGTGCCCATAAATTTGATGATTTAGATGAAATGTACTGATTCCTTGAAATATACCAACTATCACAATGGACACAAGGAGAAATAGATAATTTGAATGGTTCTACATGGTAGGGTTCTCCAGAGAAACAGAACCAATGGGCAGGGGGTGGGGAGAGAGACATGTATTATAGGCTCACATGATATGGATGATTGGAAATGAAAAAAAAAAAAAAATGCAGAAGGGGTCAGCAGGCTGGAGTTCCAGGAATCGATGTTGCAGTTACAGTCCTAAGGCTCTCTGCTGTAGAACCAGAGTCTGCAGATGAGTTCTGAAGGCAGTCTGCTGGAGAATTTTCTTTTGCTCAAGGGAGGCCAGTCTTTTTGTTCGAGCCAGGCCTTCAACTGATTGGATGAGGCCTACCCACAAAAATGGAGTACAATCTGTCTCACTCAATATTCACAGATTTAAATGTTAATCTCATTCAGAATCACCCAGAATAGTGTTTAACTACGTATATGAACATCTCATGGCCCAGTCAAGTTGACACACAAAATTACCCATCACAGTCTATAATTGCTAAATTGAATCATTAACTAATTAATGTTGAAGAAAGGAAGCATCAACCCTACATAGTTTCACTAGTGAATTCTACCAAACATTTAATTAAGCAATAATACCAGTTCTCTACAATCACTTCCAGAAAATAGAAACAAAGAGAATACTTTTTAACTTTGTCTATGAAGACAACATTATCCTATTATCACAACCTATAACATTAAGTTTTACCTCGTGTTAACATTAAGCATAAACCTTAACATTGGCTCGTTTATAAAACCACTCAGGAGGGGGCCTTCCCTGGTGGCGCATCATCGGTTGAGCGCTGGGCTGCAAAGCTGCCCGCAGCCTTTGCAAGCGCCGGTTTGATCCCAGGCCACTGGCGAGGGTCCCACATGGCGCGCAGACCTCTGCTGCCGCCCACTGCTCCCCTCAGCAGTGTATTTCATCAGTCTGTCAGTCTGCCTGTTCTGTTCCCTGCTCTGGCTCTGGTGAATTCTCTCACCCTCCCGCACTTCTGACTGTATCCAGTGCTTGTATAAATAAATAAATAAATAAATAAATAAATAAATAAATAAATAAATAAATAAATAAATAAAACCACTCAGGAGGATGGTGATCCCAGAAAAGGACACAGATGAAGCTCCAATTGCATTACAAATGTATGAAACAACCTCACTGATAAAATTGCTTCCAACTGGAGGACAGGCGAACATTCTTAGACTGCTGTGCATGTACACTGAAGTTGAACAGTTAAGTTTCTAGGTGGCAAGTAATGGGGGCCAGTTTCCTCACTGTGGAAGTGGGAGTTTAGAGCTAGTGTACACCGCCCACATGGAGTTGAATCAGAGATGTCAGTAAGAACTCATGTTTAATTTAATACAGATACAGGTGGTTACAGGTAGAAATACTTATAGAAATATATATATATACATATACATATAAACCCTACTATGTAACTTTTCCAAGATGTTCACAGTCTTTATTCTTTTGAAGAAATGAAGACAAGGATAAGGCCGTGAGCTCAGTGGCCAAGTGCATGAACAGCAATGCACGTGAACAAGCCCCACCAAACACACACAATTCTGCCTTGTTTTGCAGGTACCTATTTTCTAGGTTCTTCAGTGTGATGTGATTTTGATGTGGAAACCTGGGGAGGCCTTAGTACATACACTGTTCTTTTGTGCCCAGGTGGAAACAAAGCGCTGCAGATCTTAAATCTGCTTTAGGCAGTGGCCCTAGGCTCTGTAGGAGGGCTGACCCTGAACAGAGAAAACAAAGAAAGGCCCAGAAAACTCCCACCCTTGGCAGAAAAAAATATTCTTTTAAAATATTTGTTAGGTAAAGAACATTAGCATCCAGTTTAAAACCCACCTTCCACAGGTGTTCAAACCCAGGCTCAGAAAGTATACAAATGAGCCCCACTTCATAGTGCTACCTGGGGTCTAATCACACTGGGGTCATGAGGCTGGGTCATGGTTTCTGATGTCAGCATAAGGGCTCCTTTCCACCATCAAGCTGTCCCCTGCTGCCTGAGTCCAGCACAGCCGCTAATTAACTTCTGCTTTCTCCAAGTAGACACACACAGCTTGGATATAGAGCCCACAAGACACCACTGACAGAAGAGAACATCGTCCTGGTTCCAGCTCATGCAGTCCGTGCCATCTTTGAGATAATCCCATTTCTAAAGGGAATGGTTAAACAAAGTAGTCATTATCAGGAGTAATTACATCCCATTTCTCAGAGAGATGTGATTATTAGACAGAAGATGGAAATTTACCCATGATTCAGTTTCCTCACATGTCATCAATGTTAGAAGATGGTGACTAAAGCCGGGGGTGAAACAGCATGGAAAAATAAGTCTTCCACTGCCTTAAAAGAAAGAAGTTAATTGCTATAAAGCTAGTCAAATGCTTTTCAGGAAAACTCAAAATGGTTCTGCACATAAGATTCTGTGTGGTTTATAGCATAATCCCTGCTTGCCTTCCAGATCCACTTTCCATTCTTCGTTACCCTTGGAGACTAACTTCCACTATCTAACCCCCCTTCCGCACCTAATTTTCCAGTTTCCAGCTGGGTTTGGCCTATGGGAGGCATAATTAAGAGATGAGAGAGTAACTGCCTTGAGTATTATAAAATGCAGTACTTACTGCGCATAAAAAGACAAAGAACAAAAGGATTCACCAGGGTCAGAGAGAGAATGCGCATGAGCACTGAAACTGAAGTCATGGATCCATATCTGGGTGTCATATTACCAAACAGGAGGAGATAAAAATGGATACTCTATCCAGGCTGAGCTAGAAGGTGCCATTCCAGTGATTTAGGAAGAAATCAAGTTTGCTAAAATGAAAGTAATATAAGAGGCAAGAAACAAGATAGAGTTTGCTCAGTTTTCATCCTGCAGAAATGAGAACACTTGGAGGGCATTGGAATGTGTTTTTTTTTAATATATCTAAGGAAACAAAAATCTCAATGAGGTGGTGAAACTATTGAAAAACTATTGAAAACTATTGAAAGATCTATGAAAGACAGAACTCTATTCAAGGAACTCAGTATGTAAAGAAAAGAAAAATCGAAATTCTTATTTAGAAACTAAGATTTAGTTTTCTTTGTCAGATAGACTGGGTTCAGATTATAATTTCTCCATTAGCTAGCTGTGTGACTATGGGCAGATTTATTTACCTCTCTGAAATTCAGTTGTTAAGAGGGTTAAATGAGGTAAGGAATGAAAAGTATGTATCATTCCTGGTGGAGAGTACCCATTCACTAAGTGGCAGTTGCACTCTGCTACTACTACTATTAATCTTCGTTTCATTAGGTCCCCACTTACCTACTTACATTTTCATCCCTTGAATTTTATTTAGCTATGTTACAATATCCAGAGGGGATAATGAAGTCAGAAAACTGACACACCCAATTAATTCTAAAACCAGAAGTTGTAATTGCTTCAAAACCCAAGTGCATGTTTTTCAAGATGTGTTTCTTATGAAAGAATGGTTTCACTAGAAATGACCTCATCTCTTATTTTTCTGAAATTATGGGAGGTCAAATGAATGTCTGATATGAAGCTCTATCTCTTAACATGAATTTACTTTTAAAATCTCTACAACTATCTTTTTATCTCAGAGAAAAGGGTGTTGTTATTCCTCCTCCTCTAAAGTTACCTTCCCCCAAGCCCCCATATTTCCCCATTCATTTAAGGTGATAATACAAATATCCAAGTAGAAAAAAATAAAGTAAAAGTTACCCAAAATTGTATCACCTAGAATCATTAATATATGTGATCATTATTTAGAAATCACTTTATATTTGTGCATGGTAAAACAGTAATAAGTAGATATGCATAGAAAAATCATTAACTTTCAGATTTAAAATAGTAATTTTATTTTTACTTTAATCCATAAATAATACAAAAATGCAAGAGAAAAATTTGAGGAACTTTAAAGTAATGTTTCATCACCAACATAAATATTACTTCCTCAGAAAAAACTCGAATTTTGGAGGGAAAAAAAAGGAAGTTTGAGAATTCTGCTTCTAGCCCAAGTAGAATAACAGGGACTAGGTTTATCCTGTTGCCTTAAAGGGATAAAGAACTGAATAAAATCGAGGCAACAATGGCTTTTAGCCACAGGACAATAAGCAGTACTAAGAGTGGTTCCTGGGCAAATGAAAACAAACCCTGTGATTGTTCCAGAGTGTTCAGACCTCAGAACAGGTACGAAACCCTAAACAGAGCCTGGTAGCTCTCTGAGAGAAGTCAGAGTTCTTGATTCAGGGAGGCCAGGGTATGCAGCACTTCTGACTCAGAGCAGGGAAATCTGTATTCAGAGAGAAAGAGTTTTGGAGATCTGTATAGGGTTTCCCTAGAATCTTCATCTGAGTACTGATTGGTGCATGTATGGAGAAAACTGTCATTGTCATAATGGGGAAAGATTTCTAGAAGGAGCAAGTGGAACAGTTCTTGGAAGTCACACAGATTTTAGAACAGTGTGTCTACCAGCCAGAGTGGAAAGATCTCTTAACACTTGAGACATCAGAGCTATGAAGACTGTAGTTCGATAATGGGACTGGAAGGTGACTTCCCAGTGATTTGAATTTTGTTTCTGAATACTTGAGAATTTTTTCTTACGTTTAATTGATTCAATTAAACTTAAGAAAGTTGATCTTTCTATGTTTTAATATATTTTAAGGAAATTTTCAGTTCGGATAAGGGTTTAGGATGGCTGCATGAAAAAATTATGCAAAAGTAGGCAGTATTTAAATCCAGAAAACAAAAACATTGTTCAAGAGAAGAAATGTAATAATTGTTAATCATATATCTAGGTTGTGAATAATAGTTACATTGTTACGGTTGAGGAAGAGGTAAAGGAGGGATGTGAGGAAGCAGAAAGGAGGGATGGGTAGAGCTGTATATAGTGTACACATATGGATGATGTGGCTTGGGGATAATTTGTAAAAAACGCCTAAACCCTCCAATGTAATAAATCAATGGATAATATCTATGTATATAAAGGTATGAAATAACATCACATTGTACAAAGAAACATACAGAAGGAAATATCTGAGAAAGTTGAAATTTGCTGCCTCAGGATAAAAGAAATTGGATCTGGGAATAGATGTAGCATGCAAAAGTTAACATTTGAAAAGGAATGAACAATTTGCATATCCAGTCAAAATATGTTATCTATAAGGGCTAATCAACTGATGACTTCAAATCTTTCCATATCAACATTCAGTATTAGAAGAAGTAGAAATGAACAGATGTTAAAAAAGACAATGTGATCCTAAATTTTTATTCCCAAGTGTAAAGACAACAGAAAAAAATATTTTTGAATACACATAAATTCAAGGAATAAAGATCTCACTACCCCCTTGCAGTGGCCAAATTTCAGCTAATCAAATGATAAATGAAAAAACTGCACCCAAAAATTGACAGAAAACAGTCAATATATTCATTTGGTAAAAGTAAAGCAAATTATGAGGACAGTGGTCTAGAACAGACTATAAATGTTGTAAGTCATGACAAAGTATAAATGAAATATAAAAGTATAAATATGTCTAGTTATAAAAAAGTTGAAAGGAGGAGATAAAATGGAAAGTAAATATGCAGATTTCCTCATCTTTTATGACCAAGGCTAAAAAGATAAAGATAAACCAAGTAATGTTTACTTTAAGATATAACAAAAAGCCCTAAAAAAAATCACAACCAACTAAAAAAGATGATTGATGGATAAAGATAAAGACTCTCTCCTTTGACAAACTTGAGATCTCTTCTGACTATTCCATGATTTTGGACTCTGTCCCTGGCCCATTTAGTCCAGTTTTAACAGAATCCTATTGGGTCAGTTTGGGGAAAATCCCCTACTCTTGATAACTGATCAAATTCCTCATCTTTCCAAGTTTGTCATCGCCCTGGCCTGTCTTCTGCAAGATTCCTGTTGAATTGGTCTGGCAAGATTTTCCTTAACATTGATATTTCCTCTTAATTTTTTATTCCTTGATTATCTCTGCTATACCTTCTTCTTGGATATAAATGCACTTTTCCTTGTACTTGGAGATAAACTAGATCTCTCCCCACTACTACAAAAACATAGAATGTAGTCTGCCTTACCATATTTAACAAATGTCATGAATAAGTTTTTCTTTAACAGTGGAAAGTAAATAGGGAGAGAGGAAATAAGCTCATTGTACATTACTCAGAGTGACTTCAGGCCAATTTTCTAAAAGTCATTCCACAAACTGGCCATAGAATAGACCGACTTTTAGTAAATAAGGTTCAGTGAACTAGACTCGAGAAAATTTACTTTTAATGAATTGGCTTGCTTTTGCTTGAGTAGGAAGCCAGTAAATACTGCCTAAAGAACAGAGGACTCAATACTTTATATGTCATATACAAAATAACAATTATCTATCTAACTTTACATAAAGATAAACACTAAAATGAAGACCTAAACCTCCAGAGTAATCAGAAGTATTACACATATACACACATAAGGAAAGGAGTTTTTTTTAAATTTAAGTAATAAAACAAATCCAAAAAATGGTGAAAATAAATCCAAATATATCTGTCATAGCCTTCAGTATAAATGGGCTAAAATTACCCATTTAAAAAAATCTGACTGAAGTCCTCCCTGGTGCAAGGGATTAAAACGCAACCTATGAAGCTATCTGCAGCCACTGCAGTACAAGTTAAATCCCCAGCCAGCGAGCTACCCACATGGTGCAGCAGACCTCTTCTGACTCGCCCACTGCTCCCCTCAGCAGTATATTTCAGTCACTCTCCATATTCTGTTCCCCACTCTGTCTCTGGTGAATTCTCTCACCACTCCCTCCACCACCCCCCCACCGCCTCTGGCCTGTACCCCAGTTCTTGCATGCATAAATAAATCTTAAAAAAAATAAATAAATTAACAATTTAAAAAACTCTCTCAGTTGCACCTAGAACGCAAGGAACTACAAAGGATAATTTGTTAATCATTGTAGAGTTAATTTGCCTAGATTTAAATCTAAGTGATCTGGACAACTTTCTTAGTTTCTTGGGACCTCAGTTTTGTCCATAATAAAAGGGGGATATTAACTAAACTTAACCCACAGGATTCTTGGGAAGATCTAGCAAGATAAAATATATACAAAGCACTTAGCATGGCGCCTGTCACTTAGCTCTGTAACTATTCCTCACTTAGGACACGAGACACATCTAAAACCAAATGATTCACAAAGGCTGCAAGTAAGAGGGCAGTCAGAGGCTTATTGATTAAATGCCAATGCAAAGAAAGAAGTGATTTGGATATTATTACCAGAAAACATTGAATTAAAGGTTGGAGCTTAAAACAAGTAAATAAGGACACATTATAATGATAACAAGGGCAAGA